AGTATGAACCGGAACACTACAACACATGAATTTGATAATGAGAAGGTTGAACTAGTGAAAAGTACATACACATGGAGGAGAGATTAACTAAGTATGAATCGGAACACTACAACACTCGTGAACTTGACAATAAGAAGATTGAACTAGTGAAAGGCACATGAACCGGGGGAAAGATCAACTAAGTATGTGATCTCTTGCTCAATACTTATGATTTGATCTTCTTCAACGCTTGCTTTTCACTCACACACTAGTAGGTAATGATCCGATTCTTCTATGGATGATCTCATGCTCAATACTTGTTATTTGGTTGACTTCAACTCTTGCTTTTCACTCACACACTAGTAGGTAGTGCGCCGATTCTTCTATGGATGATCTCTTGCTCAAATCTTGTGATTTAGTCTAGTGTAACTCTTGCTTTTCACTCATATGCTAGTAGGAGATGCTCCGATTCTTCCATGGATGATCTCTTGCTCAATACTTATGATTTGATCTACTTAACTCTTGCTTTTCACTCACACACTAGTAGGAAGTGCTCCGATTCTTCTATGGATGATCTCATGCTTAATACTTGTGATTTTGTCTACTTCAACTTTCACTCACACGCTAGTAGGTACTGCTCCGATTCTTCTATGGATGAGCTCATGTTTAAAACTGTGATTTGGTCTACTCCTTCTCTGGCTTTTTCACTTACATACTAGTGGGTAGTGCTCCGATTCTTTTATCGATGATCTCTTCCTCAATACTTGTGATTTGATCTACTTCAACTCTTGCTTTTCACTCACACATTAGTGGGTAGTGCTCCGATTCTTCTATGGATGATCTCATGCTCAATACTTGTGATTTGGTCTACTTCAACTCTTGTTTTTCACTCACACACTAGTAGGTAGTGCTTCGATTCTTCTATGGATGATCTCTTGCTCAAATCTTGTGATTTAGTCTAGTGTAACTCTTGCTTTTCACTCACAGGCTAGTAGGAGATGCACCGATTTTTCCATTGATGGTCTCATGTGCAATACTTGTGATTTGGTCTAGTGTAGATCTTGACTTTTCACTCTCATGCTAGTAGGTGATGCTCTGATTCTTCTATGGATGATCTCTTGCTCAATACTTGTGATTTGATCTACTTCAACTCTTGCTTTTCACTCACACACTAGTAATGGATGATCTCATGCTCAATACTTGTGATTTGGTCTACTTCAACTCTTGCTTTTCACTCACATACTAGTAGGTAGTGCTCCGATTCTCCTATGGATGAGCTTATGTTCAAAACTGTGATTTGGTCTACTCCATCTCTTGCTTTTTCACTCACATACTAGCGTGTAGTGCTCCGATGGATGATCTCGTACTAAAGACTTGTGTTTTGGATAGTCTAGCTTGTGCTTTCCACTCACATAGTAGTTGATAACATTCCGTTTCAAAATTGGTTGCATTCACGAGTCATGAGCATGTGTTTGAGCAAGTCTCACTCACATGCATGGCTCAACTCTCACATAATGGCATTCTGTTACAAACTTGGTTGCATTCAAGAGCCATGAGCATGCTTTGGCCTCCTTTTCACTTCAAGAATGTTGCCCCCTTGGGTCCTAATGCCCAAGGGGTAACTGTACTTGAGAGAAAAAGGCCTAGTGGACCTTTTTCTCAATTTTTTCAGTTTCTACCCCATTTTGGGTAGGCCGAGATATTTTCCCATGCAACGGTGCATTTTCAGCCTTGGATCTGGCTGAGATCCAAGACCAACAATAATCCGTGCCACCCCCAAGTAGCCCTTGCTTCAAATTTGAGCCCCTAAGTCCAGTTTTTCAATTTTTCGTGCATCTGGCTCTCTTTTTGGGCCAAATGCACAGTTTCGTCCCTTTCCTTTTTTTGTTTTTTTCCATTTTTGGCTGCCACCTCATTCCGGTGATAGCCGTTTTGAGCTCGCCCACAAAAAATGGCTAGTTCCTCTCCACCATGAGATCTGATCTGAGATCCATGGTCCAAAAAGAAACCGGTCATTTTTCTTTTGCATTTTTCTTTTTTTTCTTTTTTTTAATTCAGATATTGTGGAGATATGGCCCCAAGGGCCATATCTCTACAATCTGGATTGCCCTCCCTCGTTCTAGGAAGGACGCGGTCACAGTTGGGACCTGCTAGTCCCTATTGTGCAAGTCCCAATAGGCCGGCACATTCTCCTCCACTCTTTTCTCTTTTTTTGTTTCATTCTCCCTCCATTTTCTCTTTTTTTTTTTTCTTTTTTTTTCTTTTATTTCAGTTATGCCAAGTGTTAAATAGTTGTGCACCCTCTTTCTAGGCCTTGGGGCCTCGTTCATGGCCAGATTCATGGCTGGTACTTGGCCGTTATATCTCGGATTTCAAGAATGGCACCCCCATGCTCCTAGGGGGCTCCATTTTGCCTCAGTTTGTCCAATTTTGAGCCCTCTTTGCTCCGATTTTCTTTGGACAGCCTTTTTCTCACTTTCAGCCCCTAGGGGCTTTATTTTCTCATGCCTAGCTAGTCCGGGATATCTCAGACTGCTGGGCAACCCTCCCCACATCACTATTTTTCTTTTATTTTCTCTTATGACTCTCTTACTTCTCTCCATTAGTGCTTGCACTTGTGGTGCTAATATTTTCCACCGTCTAGATCTTCGATCTTGACGGTGCCGTTTGCTTTGTGTGATCATCTTTTGTGATGGCTCATGGTTCCCTTGGGACACTTCAAGTCCATGCCACTTCCCTCCGTATTAGTTTCGTTTTCTTGTCCCGCCAGTAGTTCCGCCGGCGCGTGTACCGTTTTTTTGACTTTTATTATTTAGGCCCACCCGGTCCCCGGCAACATCTCGGACGGCGTCCCATTTTTATGTTGGGACCTTCTTGCCCTTGGCAGTCCCAATATCTCTCTCTTAGATGCCACATGTCTGTCGATTTTTCTAGGCCGTGAGATCTCATCTCACGGTTGCCGTTTACCGTCTCCACTTCCCTCATGCCGAAATTGCTCCTTTCTAGCCTTTCGGGTTTGCCGTGGCTCATTTTCTCTTAGCCTAGGCACCCCCATGCAGTCAGTTATTTCTCGGACTGCAGTCATATTCAGGCGTTGAGCGAGCAAGTCCTGGAATTTCCCCAAATAGGGGAGATGGAGTTGGTTTATCGGCCTCCAAGGGGAAGAAGGGGCCTTGCTATGGCACAGGCGCAGGCACAAACAGCCAGTCGGCCTTTTTTAGGGGACGACTCAAGCAGGGTTTCCAAAGGCGGTACAAAACGATAGATAAAAAGTATCGTCCAGTTCCCGTTCTCGTCACTGAAGATGAAGAAGTGTACTACGAGCGGGAACGAGCTTTGATACGGCAGATGAGGGAGAATGCATCAGCAGGACCATACCGTATCAACGAGGGGAATGAAGGGAAGTTGATAGTGGGAGAACCGCTTCTTACTACCCCGGGAGAGGGCGTTAATGATAGAGTTGATGAAGAAAAGGCATCGCGCCTATGCATTTAGTGATGAGGAGCGCGGCAGCTTGGATGTAGACAAGATTCCTATGATTCGCATCCATACCGTGCCACATGAGCCATGGAACCTGAGAGGGGCGCGATTACCCTAATCCAGACGAAGAGAAAAAGGTGGTGGATTACCTCGATGGCAAGATACGCACGCACGTCGCCGGTTATTCAAGCGGACCCTACGTGTCCCCGTGGTTTTGTTTCATCAAACCTAATGGGACGTTGAGGTGGGTGCAGGATTTGCAACGACTGAATGCTGTCACTGTGCGGGATGCAGGAGGCTTGCCAAATGCAGACGCACTGTCACAGTCATGTGCTGGGAGGCCAATAATCTCGCTCATTGACCTCTATTCCGGATATGACTAGTTTCCGGTCTATCCTCCAGAAAGACCAGTAACAGCGATGCATACGCCTCGAGGGCTTATCCACACGAATGTGGCTCCGCAAGGGTGGACGGATGTTGTAGCCATGGTTCAAAGGCATATGATTCGAGCCATGCAGACAGTTAGCCCACATATTACGCAGCCATATATTGATGACTTGGCAGTAAAGGGACCAGGAAAGAGAGAGGACGATGAAGTCTTGCCAGGAGTAAGGCGTTTTGTCTGGAAGCATCTTCAGGACCTTGACAAAGTCCTAAAGTTGCTTGAAGAGCATAACCTTACAGCTAGTGGAGCCAAATCCAAGCATTGCATGAGGGAAGCTACCATATTGGGGTTCGTCTGTAGTGAGAGTGGCCGACGGCCAGATGTTAAGAAGACGGACAAGATTGTCGAATGGCCAATACCTTTCCATTCGGTAACAGATGTCAGAAGTTTCCTCGGCACATGTGGATTTTGGAGGATTTTCGTCAAAAAATTTGCTGCCAAGACAGAGTAATTAAGGATGTTCGTTCGTCAGGACCAGGAATGGGTTTGGGGTGAGGAGCGGGAGAAGGTAGTGGCAGGGATGAAGGAAGAATTTCGAGGAGGAGGATTGGTGTTGGGAGCACTGGACTACGACGCCACGGAGGTGAGGCCGTTCATTGTTGAGACGGATGCTGGACCGACTGCTTTGGGTGGGGTTCTAATCCAGGCAGATATCGAAAGAAAGGAGAGGCCGCTGCGCTTTGAAAGTCGAACTCTGTGTACGCCAGAGAGAAATTACTCTCAGTTCAAAAGAGAGACTCTCGCTGTCCTTCACTGCCTACGGATCTTTCGGAACTACATCTTTGGCAGGAGGTTCATATTGCGGGTGGATCCGACAACTCTAGCTTTCTCCCTAAGGAACTATGTTCCGTCCGATCCGGCGGTTGCCATGTGGTTAACATACATTTGGATGTTCAACTTTGAGTTGGAGCGAATTCCAGGGAGTAAGAATAGAGCAGATGGACTAAGCCGCATCAACTGGGAGAAGCAGGAAGGGGAGGCAATAGAGAGTACGCCCCCAGTTGATGGCTTTTTGGACCAGGAGGAAGACATCCGCCTTCACACTAATGAGTGGTCTCCGCGAGTGCCTAGCTGCGTTGGTTATCCCATTTGGCATGCGCCAAGAGATATGAACGAAAGGCTGAGTTAGTACCTTAGCCTTTTGAAGAGGAGGACCCTAAGGGTGCCAAGGACGTCCAATGGATGATGAAGTTGGCGCTCGCATGCAATCACAGTCTGGTGGAGGAGGTAAGGACGATAGAGAAAGGTCCAGACCGGGTAAGGAGTCACGAGGAGTTGATGGGAGGCATGTACCTCCTCGTCAATACACTTCTGCAGGAACCCTCTGATCTGATAGGCTCGTTAAACCCGGCTGGAGGAGGAGATGTTGTGCCAGAAAGCCAGGATGACGAGTTTGAGAAGGGAGAAATCAAAGAGCCTTTCCGTGCAGAGGAGTATGATGGAATCTACCTGGAACTGGGACTCCTCTTATCGTGCGAAATGCTGGATAGGGATGCAAGCGATAGGGCCCAAAGGATGAGGCAGCGCTATCTGGTAAGGGATGACCATCTTTTTGTAAAGAGGCAAGTGGGGAATCCCAGGAGGGTCGTATGTGGCAGGAACCGTCAGATTGATGTAATAGCTGCACTCCATGATGGCATTGCGGGAGGACACCGAGGGGCTAATGCCACATATGCCAAGATAAGTGAGCTATACTATTGGGATGGAATGATGGAGATGGTCAACCTGCATACCTTGCCAAGAGCGATCTCATCTAAGGCCGGGAGAGCCACTGCATCCAAGGTTGGAAAGGGAAGTAGGGGCCGTAGTACATCTCGACCTACTCTTTATGCCACTTGGGGATCATGGCTACAATTACATCTTCGATGCGCGGGATAACCTTTCTGACTTTGTAGATGGGCGGGCCATTCGTACAAAGACTGGGCCAGTCTTGGTCAGCTGCATCGAGGAGTACTACTTGCGCTATCCCTTTGTCAGAGAGTTCGTAATGGATAGAGGATCAGAGTTTACCTGCCAGGAGGTGCAAGAGTTGTTATCGAGGTACGACGTGGAAGCTAATTACACCACGGTCGCACACCCCCAGGCAAACGCTCCAGTGGAGAGAGGGCATAGCACCATTACGAACTTGCTGGCTAAGTGGACTGAAGGTAGACCTAGTCAATGGCCAAGGTACCTGAGGGCAGCATTTTTTGTCGAGAATATTACAGTGAAGAGGACCACCAAGTATGCGCCGACTACGCTATGGTATGAAAGGCATGCTACGTTCCCAATTGAGAGCTTCCTGAAGACCTGGAGGCGTCAGGACCTATAAAACCAACCTGTCTTTTGAAGAATTGCTCGACATTCGGGCGCAACAGGTGGGGGCTATTAAAGAAAGGATTCAGGAGGTATCAACTCGAGTAGAAAAAAGTCGTATGGATGATAAGGCTCGTTGGGACCAAGCGGCGCGTGTGCGAAAAACGCCTTTGAAGGTGGGGGACGTCGTGTTATTATATGACTCATCCCTGGAAAAGCAGTGGTCTCGAAAGCTCGATAAAAGGTGGTTGGGGCCCTCTTGGATCGTACGATGCGGAGAGTTTGGCGCGTATCAGGTTTGAAGAGTTGGATGGGACACAGTGGAAGGATTGGGTGTCAGAAACCCGACTCCAGAAATTTGTAGCCAGAGAAGAGGTGAGCTAATAAGCCCAAAACCCCATCGTAGTATGTAGCTAGTAGGAAGAGTGTGAGGGCCGTTAAATAAGATAGAAGAGTTAAGGATAGAGTTTGGGTGTGCATGTATGGTTTGACCTTAGCCTGCTGTATCCCACCTGTATGCTTACCCCGTTGTGTGCCCATCATCTCCTTTCGCCTGTTGTGCAGGACTGACTTTGCGAAGACAACCATGCCAAGAGGAGGGAGGGAGATGCGGCCATTGAGGAGACCAACCGGGGCATCAGGGGGACACGAGCGGCATGGATCTTACCGGAGGGAGCATACGCCAGAGTATGACGATGGGGACATAGAGCTCTTCTTCGGCGATTATTGGAGTTATGCGAGTCGCAGGAGATGGACGGTGACCCGCATGATTGAGAGGTTGAGGGGAAGAGGACGCTTCGCAGAGCCCATTGCGCGGATCCGTGAGGAGGCAAGGACTTGGCAGGAGGTGGAGCAGGCAATGCAGAGGCTAAGACACTCGCCGGTAGGAGCAGACGGGGAGCCGATTCGCCTCCAGATTGGGAATGCGGGGGAGTTCATCCCAACTTTCGAGCGGTTTATGCACGAGCAAGGTATCTTGAGGGACCAATGGATGCAAACGCTGCCACTGTGGACGAGAAGAGCAGAGAGACCGTTGGCCCGAGAAATCCGAGACAGGGCTCGTGACTAGAAAGGCTGCATGGCGCACATGAGGGAGGCCTTTCGGAGGCCAGAGCCGGTACAACCCCGGCCCAGGGTTGAGAGACGGCTAAGAAGTAAGAGAGAGAGGGAACCGGAGCCTAGGGAGGCCGCCCCTAGCCAAGGGGGACGGAAGGCGTTGGCATGGAGAGACGAGGAGCCCGACCAACCTAAGCAGGAGCCAGGCATGTATCCCGAGTGTGGAATGGGCCCAGTATCATTTCAGCCTTTCACTGAGGGGAGGCAACAGGGGTCTCCGCAACAGGTGTCAAAGGAGGCCGCACCGGCAGGGGGTTCCCTACAGAACCTGGAAGCACACTTGGACGCCTCGCAGTGGGAGGTACCTCGGTCCCGTGGAAGTCAGGAAGTTGAACCCCACGCCCAGAGAGGGCAGCAAAAAGAAGAGGTGATTGAGATAGGAGAGGATACCCCTCCGCAATAGTCAGCCCCGACTCCGGAAGTGGAAGCCGAGCCAATGGATGTTCAAGAAGAGGGCAGGGAGCGAGGAGAGACGCCACCACCACCTCCAGATCTGATTCAGTCACCTGAGGTGAGGGTAGAGACAGAGCCGGAAGAAACTGATTGGAGGAAGGAGGCAATCTCTACAGTGGACATGTATCTGGCAGCGCATGCTGCGGAGCACCCTGATTTGGAGGAGGTTCCGAGGGAAAAGCCGTTGCAGGAGCCTCATCCGCCGCCAACGGAGGCACCACCTGAGGCCCCACCAGGTGATATCCGCCCTATAGCGGGGAGAGCGCGTCCTCGAGAGACTGCTGAGGAGAAGAGGATCAGGGTAGGCATACGATTGGAGGAGATATGGCAGGAGAGGCAGAGGCTAGAGGCGTCAGGAGATCTTCCAGACCGACCACCCGACGCACCAGCCAAGGCCCCTGGGATTCCAGACTTGTGGAAAGAGTTTTTTGAACAGAGGACCGAAGGACTCACGTCGCCTACAAAGGCAGGTTTCGGGGTGGCCAGACAGGCTGAGGAGACTCTAGATCGGAGAATTCGATTTCTGGCCAGGACGAGCTTCGATAGGTACCTGATGTTGGGGGGTGACCTGGCAGGAAAGAAGGCAAAAGAAGAAGGCCATGGGGTATGCATAAAAGCGTTGGAGGCAAAGATCCAGGACCTCAAGGCATTAGCAGCCAGCCAGGCCGCCATCATTCAGAGCCTGCTGGAAGAAAGGAAGAAGGAAGGGACACCCACGAAGGTAGTGGATTAAACGGAAGGAGCGCGATACGACGTTCAAGGACAGGCGGCTCAAGGATCTGGGCAGCCGTCTGAGGCGGGACCTTCACAAGGGCCACCCCTTGGAAGGGTTATCCTGGGGCCAGAAGAGGCTAAGGCAAAAAGGGAGGCTGAAAAGGAAGCCTTCGTGTTCAGGGCACCAACAGAGTTTGCGACCCTACCAGTGGAGCCTTTGGGAGTCCCGCCGACATCCTCGCCACTGCCAGGCGAAGAGGGACCACAGGGGGCCACAAGTGAGCCAACACAAGGATCGATGGAGGGGCCCATGGGTGTGCTCCTTGAGGCGCTTGACACTATGCAAGAGGAAGCAAGCACACCTATGCCAGAGTTGGGTACTGAGACTGTAAGCGAGGGACTGCCTATGGTGGTACCAGAAGGAAGGCGGGAGAGCAGGCCTCAAAGGTTGGATACACCTGAGTATGTGCCAGAAGTGGGTGATTTGAGGAGTAGGCTGGGATCTTGGGCTCCTGAATCTGGTTCTGGGGAGCGAGCTCCGGAGTCGGAGCAGCAGGCGGTCGCCAGCACCATGGTAGGGTCCCCATCGTCACCTCCGCCGCAGCCAAAGAAGAAGAAATTCAAGAGGAAGGTTGATCAGCTCTTCTTCTTTTGCAAGAGGGGCGTACATTGGGCCCTCGTGCGCCCTAAGTTCCTCAAGGACAAGGCGGAAGGGAAGGTCTCAGAGAGTGCAGGGAAGATGTATGATAGGCAGGGCCGAGTGGTAGAGAGGTCCGCTGATGGGGGTAGAGCACAGTTATATAGGCACAACCAGGAGGAGATGAGTGAGTAGGGACTGGTTTGCCTAGCCACTAGGATATTGTAGACAAAGTTCAGTGTTCATATGTCAGACCGGATACTTGGTTATGGGGTCACTTTTGTCCTAGTACTGTCAGGAACAGAACATTTACGCTGTGAGATATACATATAGGGGTTTACAGCGTACGATTCCCATTGAGTACCAGTGTGTATATGTTTTGGCTTTGGTTTCCGGAACCAGTGTACATTGTGGTTACATTTTTTTGATAAAGTACTTGGTCACATACTATATCGAGAGTGACTTGGGTAAACCCAAGCGAGTCTTAAACCTGGACCATTATGTGTGTTTATGGGTGAGATATCTCATCTTTGAGTGTGTCTTTGAGTTGAGTGCTATTTGAGACTACTCTTTGTATATGACGATCACGATCACTCTCACACGTGTGGTTTTGCCCTGATGTATGATGATTCTGGATGAGAGATGTATGGGAAACATCTCACGTACTGTGCGTTTTTGTGAAAATGAATGAATATGAACTGTCTGCTCTTCAGTATACTCGTGCGATCTGCCCATGAGCGGATAATAGGGTCGGGTATAAGGGGAGGAAGCGCAGTCTGTTTTTGTGAGACGGTGTAAGAATCCTGAGGAATCGACGAGTCCTTAAGACTCGTATGCTTACCATGCCGAATGTTTATTGTTGAGTTGTGATGAGGACCCATAATTTGGTCTTTCAATTTGAGTTGTTTTTATGGTTGAGACATCCTCAGACGAGGAAGATAATCCTGTGTTTAATTGGAAGCTCCCCTTCAAAGGGGGAAGATGTTGTAATAAAAGGTCACATGGGAGTTCACCCTGAAAAGAGAAGGGGCGACTGGAAGGCCTATTGAGAGAGAACTCCTTCATCTGGAAGGAGGTTAATAGATTTAATGGCATACGAAGCTGGTTCGAGTGATAAAGTTTGACGAGAAGGACCAAGTTTTGTTTGGCCATTGGTGAAACTTTGAAGGTCGCAAAAGTGATTAATTTGGAGATGTCACTGGGATGTGTGGCCTCTTGCTCTGATCAGGCCAGAGATCGCGGGCTTGTGGATTTGGCGGTGAGTTTTGTTTTGTGAATGTGAAGAGGTTGTCGTGATTCTCTGTGTAGTCCCACGGAGGACTGGTAAATACCTTTTATGTGTGACAAACCTCTGTGTAGTCCCGAAGTAAGCCTGTTTTGTTGCGACACACCGTCCAGCCACTTGTGCTAATCTTAGGGCATTTATGAGAATACCCAGCTAACGGTAAAGTTTAGCATCACTAGGGCGCAACCCCTAGTGTCGGCTGCTGATCGGCACAACCTGAACGGAGGGCCTGCGTCTTGCCAAAGGAGTAAAGACTTAAAAGGGTGTCGCCACCTAGGAGGGTTTTACACCTGCGGAGCGACGTGGGATAGGAGTCGAGTCAAGTCTTTTTGAGTCCTGATTGACTACTTATCAGGAGAAAGCCTATCGCGGTGCAACCTGCGAGGGCACTACTACTAAAATAACAACGCAGTGGGCCGTATATCTGGCATGATCAACCAGACTATGGTGGGCCAGGATGGAGACCTGACCTTCCTGTACTAAACAGGAAGAGTCTGTGGTGAGATTTGCGTATATATATATATATATGTTTTGATTGCAAGAATTGTTGGAGGAAGGCACGAATGTCTTCAGAGGTCTCGATTAGGGCCCGCGTCCCTAGTTGTGGCCCTGCGCGCAGGGTAGAGGCTAGGGATATTTAACGAGAAGTCGACGTTTGTCTAGGACAAAGGGGAGAGGATAGCTGAGAGGGGCCACTGAGACTTATGCTGTAGTACGTATGTCTAATACACCTGCATCCTAATGTCAGGACAATGGAGACCTAGGTTGGAACCCTGGCGACATATAGTTATAAGGGCTTGGATTGTTGGAGGCCTCAACCCTGAGTCTGTCGGCTAATCGGATTGGTTCCTTTCTCGTCAGCATTTAGATTTTAAATGAGCTTGTAGCATTTTGATCTTGTGAAGTGACGGGGACGTCGCTTAATATGGTCCGGTAAGCTGTCGGTGCGAATACCCTTACAAGGGTATCCTCCCTGGTTTTTGCAAGCAACAGGAAAATAAGTTGGTTTAAAATCTAAGTATTCCATGCAAGGCGCAATTGCGTCTGTGAGTCACGCTGACTAGGTGGTTGACTAGAGTAGAGAGTGTGTGGGCGTGCAGGCTTTAAGGTGCGCATGTGATTCTTTTTCCTTTGAATTGTTCGCAAGGCCGGCATAGCCGGCCGGCCTGATTTTTAATTTTTGATTAAGGTAAGGGCATCAAAGTTTTCGTATCTCCACCCGACACGTTCGACCTACGGTAGGATTGGCATGCGGAATGGTGGCGGCCATAGTGCAGTCGGAACAAACCGGCACGGACGTACAGTGCTTGTACGCCCGACTCCGGATAGAGGAGTGGCCCGAGCGCTTTCTTGGCCCTGAGCATTGCGTCGCACTGGTTTATATGGGATTTCGCGCATGCTGGCTTCAGGCTTGGGCTTAGCCCTATGGGTTATGACGTTAAACTTGCGAAACGGAGGTGCGGGGATCGAGACCGGCAGGCGGCAGCTTAGGAGCGAAGCAGCATTGGATGACAAGGACAGAGGGGTTGAGAGTCCCGCGGACTATCCCCCTTAGTTTTTGTTGGGGGAGGTCGATCGCGGGCCTTGTTGGCAGGCCCATGGGGATGCTGTTAGGTTCCGCCCCCTCCCCTGTTTTTTTTTTTTTTTACCTTTTTTTTTTTTTTTTTATATATATACTTTGTCTCATTTGGGGCCGGCCAAATTCGAACTGGGGTCTGTAGTTTTGGCTTTCCCCGCGTCCCGCTGGGAGGACGCCGATAGCCAAAAGAGGAAGGGAATTGGAGAACATCCCGAGCAGAGCTATGGGGCTGTAGCTTGAGGGCAGCTAGTGACGCTACGGGCGCACAGCCCGCTGCCCACCGCCTACTGTAAACGGCCTAAGTGTGAGCATGCCCGTTGGGGCCCTGAGGAAAGGCCGCAGTGGTGCAGTGGTAGGTGGCTAGGCTGCTGACCACCGCAAGTTGGATACCTGCGCCATCTGCAGCAGCCCCGCCGCCTTCCCACATGCCGAAGGTTCGACACCCGTTTAAGGCTGTGCGCTGCAGGGCCATCATTCCTTGATGCCGAACGAATGAATCAGCGAGACGCTATACTTTCTGTGCCGAAATGTCGGCTTCCTTAACCACCGTCCTGCGGGTTGTATCAACGGGCACTGGTGGGGCGTACGGGGAAGCACGCGGTATAGGGCTGTGAGACCTCCGACTGCCCAGCACAGTAGGTCGGGGCTAGTGAAGAGAGGAGGACGGCAGAGCGGAAAGGCCGGCCTGTGGACCGAGCGGGCGACGAGGGGGGAAAGGACGGAAAGCAGAAACTGGAAAGATGGACTTGGACATAGGTCAAAAAAAAGAAAGACGATGGCGGAGCTATAGACAAGGGGGGGAACGCCTATCTCACCCGATCCCTGATGGAAACAGGCGGAGGGAGAGGCAGCTCGGGGGTTTTAATGGCGGGCGACCCCGAATCTGCGGTTAGATTAGTGTGCAAGTTATCGGAAGAAGAACTATCAGGAGAAAGTGCCGCGGGAAAGGGCGTCGAAGTGATGGGGCTGGCAGAAGAGATAGCACTAGAATCACCCGACTATTGGCAGATTTGGACGAGGGAAGAGTCGAAGCTGAGATTTGGAGGAGCTGCGAACCCAATGACGCGGTTAGATTTAGCAGTAGAATGGTAGTTTTCGTGCGGTGCGACTTAAACGGTGCGCATAGATATGGTAAAAAAGGGACGAAGTGAGAGAAAAAATTCGGATTACCACTCGACTTCTTCAAAATCGAGTGGGGAAGGATCGGATCAGGGGTTCTCAGATAAGACGATCTCGGTAGTAGTGTTGGGTGGGCTGGGTAGTTAGTAGGGAGAGGCTTAGTGGAGCGAGGGTCCGCATGGAGATGTCGGAGGGAGCGATTGCGGAGACAAGCCGATGTCGAAGGAAGTAAGAAATTTTGCAACCCGCCCATCTTTGGAGGTAGGCGAGTCTGATAGAGGGGCTAGTCCGATTAGTACGTTAGTAGAAAGGTGGATACACGGCATAGGAGTGCACACAGGAAAGGGGCGAATCCGGAGTTGGTCGGGTATCTTTCTGTGTTCTAGCAGAAGATTCATTCGATCTTGCTCGTCCTACCGACGAAGGTAGCACAGGAAAGATTGTGAAGCTAGGCCTTAGCTATTGAGGTGGTACGGGTCACGAAGCCGTGTGACCACCTTGCTCCGTCTAGTTACGTTCCTTCTCGGGTGTGCCCGCCGATCACGTGTTACGAGGCGAGTCATGCAGGGCTATCGGTTACATTCACAGTTGGCGGGACGTCAGTATGGTTGAAGTTCCGACTGAGGAACGGACTGGGCACAAGGAGTGCTGCTCTTATCGATGGAGGTGGCCAATTGTCGGTGACTGCTACTGCTGCTGCCTACTGCTGGCTGCTGTATATAGCTGCATACAACGGCTGACTGTTACAGGCTGTTATGCAGTGGCGGTTTGGGCTAAGGAGAGGTGCTGGAACTCAGAGGGACGGTTGGGGACTGTGAAGGGGGGGTCATTGTGGCGATCTGAAGAGGGCATCAAGGAGTTGACTTCAACAGTTTGACTTCGGGTTTTGATCAAGCGGCTGCAGTCAGGCCATCATTGCGGGGCCCTCAGGCGCATCAAGGAACCAAGGCCCTCTCTCGCGAGTCTGAGTGCACCCCCCTTGGATCTGAGACTCCCAAACATTTTTCTATATGCCCTTCTCACTCTAAGTCTAGTCTGTTGGTTACGAGAGGAAGGCGGCACGCGGGATTGCAACCCGTAGGACCGTGTCAAGACTCTGTGGGGAGTCCACCTACCGATTGCGAGAGCTCTGCCGGAACCTAGGCGAGGTTCTGGAGGTAGGGAACCATCAGGTATATCATCTTTCTATCTGTATGACCCACTATACCCTTGTTTGTTTATCTCCCCCTTAGTTTGGCTGATGTTAGCATGAGATTGTCCCTATGATTCTTGCTTTCTATTCAGGGCTAATCAGATTGAATGGAAAGAATGTGTGCGTGTGAAGCTTAAGTTTCTCTTTATTTTGACTGAAAGCAGACTAAGGATGAATTGGGGGAAGGTGGGAGGAAGGAAGACTGCGTGCGTTTGACCGGGTCAACCAAGGACTGGGCATTGTTTCTAAGCTGAATGCCCCAGGGCTATGTTTATTTGACTGTTTTCTGAAAGGCGAGACATTGTTTCTAAGTTGAATGGCCTGGTTGCAATGTTTATTTTCTGAGGGTTCGCCTTATGCAAAAGGGTTTTCTTGTTTTATTCTTAGGGAGGATTTTTGGTCTAAGGTTGGGCATTGTTTCTAAGCCGAATGGCCTAGCCTGAAAACCACGCACATAAGTACAACCTGAGTATAAAAGAAAGTATTTTACATATATGTGCATGTGAACTGGCAGCTGGGCATTGTTTCCAAGCCGAATGGCCCAACGTTAAGCCATATCACTAAAAAGAGAAGGGGAATTACGAAGTATAATTGGAAATAGACAAGCTGATCATTGTTTCCAAGCCGAATGGTTCAGTCACCTGCCCATATTTGCATCTTCTTTTGAGAACGAAGTCAGAGAATTATTAAACTTTGGATATTAAATAGTTCAGGGTCGCTAGGCATTCTAGTCAAATGCCCCAAGAAGAGAAAAGTAGTAGTGCGACCTGTTCGTGTATATCCTAAGGCACGCTGGACATGGTTTCCAAGCCGAATGGTCTAGCATTGGTGCCATATGTAGTAGGGTATAAGGGATAAAGTATCTGAAGACTCATGAACTATCTTATGGGAAATAACTTGGGATGGTGAGAGTACTTACTTTTGTGGTTTGACCTGCATGTGACTGAGTACGACTACTAGTTAGTCTGAGTTTCAGTTTGATAGGTAGTTGCTTTAGTTGCTTGCCACGTGCTAGAGCCGTAGGAGTTAGTTTTAATTCCTGCATTTTCTGGACTCAGTTTATTTTTCCTACATTTTTCTGGACTCAGTTTATTTTTACTTAGGGCGATTTCTGCATCTTCTGGGATCATTTGCTATACTTGGTCTTGTATAAACCTTTCTAAGCCACTTCCTCTAAAGGGAGTGTTGCCCAATCTTTTGCTATTTCAAGGAGCTAGGCAAAATTGAAGTTTGAGAAGTCAAAGTCACTTTTTCTGACTTTAGCTTTGTATAAATCTTGGAATAGCACTTTCTCTACGGGAAGCGCTGGCGAAATTTTTACAAATCTAAGGGGTTAGTCAAATTTTGTCTTGATTTGAGCTCACGAATCGATTATGAGCTCATATCTGACTTAGTACAAATCTAGGAAGTCTACCTTTCTAGAGGAAGTGCTGCCCAGATTTTTATTAATTCAGGAAGTTAGACAAATTTGGACTTTCCAGAGTTAGGGATTATTTTTGTTGTCATATTTGGACTATTATAAATTCTGCGAAGGCACTTTTCCTACGGGAAGCGCTGCCAAAATTTTCCCAAATTTGGAGGAGTTAGATTATATTTTGACAGGTGGCAGTTTTGGCAGTTCACTCTATATAGAGGAGATTCTGCCAAAAGGCTTATACCTTTCCCTTAGGCGTTGGTTTAAGGATAGACCCAGGATTAGTTAGATAGAATGACCCTTGGTAAGATATGGAGGTTACGATCGATTTGGACTCATAGATTTAACTTGGGATTGGCCTGTCGTATGTTACAGGTCCTTCTGGACGTTTAATTTGAGATCAGGATAAGGTTCAACTCGATCCCACAAGGATCGTCTTCCGTTATCACTGATAACAGGTCGGTTGCCGATTTGTCGGTTTACGACTCAATTCCAATTCACCCTCAATACTCAACCTTAAAGGCTTTAGCCCTGGTGATTTTATTGTTTTCTTAAGGTTTCACCCGGACTTTTATTGAATGGTCATTTAACAAAGATACTGAGTATTTAATTATGGTTGGTTGGACAAGAGGCTGGGGCTTGCATAGCTGAAGCGAGGGGTATGAGTATAGAGAGTGGTTGGGGTTGACTCCGTGTAGAGTGTGGACTCCTATTTGATTCTTTGATGTGATTGCAGGTATGTTTTGTGGTTCGGATTTTGGATTTGACTGCCTGCGATCACACATATACATATGGTTGTGAGGAGCCCCACTGTGATTGTGAGAAGTGAGATGTTGGATGTTCGCGCGGCCTGAGGGGCCCGCGTATTATAAACTTAATTAGGGGTTGAGATTGGGAAAAGGGGAAAAACCCCCTCTATCTTGTTTATATGTTTCTTGAAGAATTTTTAGTCGGACGTTGGTCTTGGGCCGGGATTCGAGGTCCTTCTTCAGGACATCCCAAGCCCTAGACTCTGCTCGGAAGGAACCACCCTCCGGGCAGGGCCTACTTGCCTTGCCTGCCATTGGATGTTCGCGCGACCTGAGGGGCCCGCGCATTATGGACTTTATTAGGGGTTGAGATTAGGAAAAGGGGGAAAGCCCCCTCTGTCTTGTTTATATGCTTCTTGAAGAATTCTTAGTCGGACGTTGGTCCTGGGCCGGGATTCGAGGTCCTTCTCCAGGACATCCCAGGCCCTAGACTCTACTCGGAAGGAACCACCCCCCAGGCAGGGCCTACTTGCCTTGCTTGCCAAGACACTCAAGCCAAAGGGCTTAGGTCTCGCGGCGGCCCCACAGCTATTCCTTCAGCCGTGCAATATCGTGAGGGAGTAGACCCTCACGATACTTCGTGTCATAAGCGGTACTCGGATCCACGAGGGACCGCTTGACTATGGGCACTACATAGTACGCCATCACTGCGACTGTCTGCGCATGCTTGCATTGCGAATCGATATGAGTAGGCCCTGCGTCCGCGCGATTTTATACTAAGTCTCGCGCGCGACGCCTATTTGGTTTCCGCGTCAGAAAGTTATGGGACAACTACCGAGGGACTAGGAGCGTGGTTGCGTTGTTTGTCCTGTGTTGTTTCGTGTATTTGTACGTATGCGTGTTTTTATTTTTACATTCCTTATAGTGGTGTGCGCGTGGCGTGTGGGATGCGTCCTAGTCGACCGGCGACGAGCCGCGCTTGGGACCTCAGCCCCCCAAGATGTCGGTCCGTGTGTGGGTCCGATAGAGGCGTAATA